TCTTTTATATTTTACCAAAAAATTGGGTAATAATAAATGTTTTATCATTTAATATAGGGGAAACTGTTTTTTTTTTTTAAATTTCGGTAATTTTTCCTTAATATAGTAAAAAAATAAAAACCCCAGTGGTGAATAAATACCACCAAAAGAAAGCTCTATCTGTCCCCAAAAAAGGGTATAAAATTCATTTCAGTACAGCGCTGCATGACGGAATAAATGTCAGTTAAAGTACCGCAGCGCTGAATACTGAAAAATGGCCTAGATGGGAAGGGGGTTTAACACCGCGGATGTCAACTGGTTAAAAAGTTAGATACCGGTAACAGCTGGATAGAATAGCACTAGGCTCTGAATAGAACATACCACTCAAACTTCTCCTCAGGACTGGAAACAGAGAAGAACTGAGTGACAGAGGAGGAGGTTCCTGTATCTTTGCTCAGTGCTTCTCGAGAAAAAGGCCTTTATCACCAGGTCTGACAGGGTGCTAAATCAAGGGTACTTTTCACAATACTTATCCAGTGATAAAGCTGTTCTCTACTTTTCTCCCTTTATTAAACAGGTACATTCCCATTACTTTCTGTGTACTTATCACCAGGATGAGAAGAGGTGAGATATTTCAGTTCCTACCGGACTTATCACGGGTTATTAAACACAATTTTCTAGACTTTTCCCTTTGCTAAGGTGAGAAAAGCCTTCTCACTGCTTATCACACTCTTTCACAGTTTATTAAACGTACACCTTAATCTTTTACAAGCGGCAGCTGTCACCCATTTAAGTTAATAATCAGGTGACAGTGGCTGCATTTGAAAGCGGCAGAAGGACACTGCATGTGATACGATTACATGTGGTTAGGAATCAATCACTCTCCTTGGATGCACGATCGATGCATCCAGAAATAGTGATTGGTTCCTAACCACATGTAATCGTATATCACATACGATTACATGCAGTGTGCCGGCATTCAAATGCAGTGGCTGTCACCCAATCAATAACTTGAACGAGTGACACCTGCCGCTTGTAAACGGCAGACTGGGGATTCCTATTGCAAGTTGCTGATGCAGGAATCCCTAATCTCACCTAAAACATGCACTATATTGTCAAAAGTATTGGGACACCCCTCCAAATCATTGGATTCAGGTGTTCCAATCACCACCATGGCCACAGGTGTATAAAATCAAGCCTAGGCTAGGACTGCTTCTATAAACATGTGTGAAAGAATGGGTCGCTCTCAGGAGCTCAGTGAACTCAAGCGTGGTACCGCGATAGGTTGCCACCTGTGCAGTAAGTCCATCTGTGAAATTTCCTTGCTACTAAATACTCCACGGTCAACTTTTTGTGATTTAACACAGTGGACGAAACTGGGAACAACAGCAACTCGGCCACGAAGTGGTAGTCCACGTAAAATGACAGAGCGGGGGTCAGCGCATGCTGAAGCACACAGTACGCAGAAGTCGCCAACTGTCTGCAGAGTCAATAGCTAAAGACCTCCAAACTTCATGTGGCCTTCAGATTGGCACAACAACAGTGCGTAGAGAGCTTCATGGAATGGGTTTCCATGGCTGAGCAGCTGCATCCAAGCCTTACATCACCAAGTGCAATGCAAAGTGTCGGATGTAGTGGTGTAAAGCACGACGCCACTGGACTCTAGAGAAGTGGAGACGTGTTCTCTGGAGTGACGAACCACGCTTCTCTGTCTGGCAATCCAATGGACGTGTCTGGGTTTGGCGGTTGCCAGGAAAACGGTACTTGCCTGACTACATTGTGCCAAGTGTAAAGTTTATTTATAATAGGGGAAGGCTACCTCGGCTCCCCAGCTTTAGTGGAACTACAAGTCTCATGAGGCAATGACAGCTAGGGTTGCCACCTGTCCAGGATTCACCCGGACATTCCGGGTTTTGAATGCTGTGTTCGGGTTTCATGGCAGCAGAAACCCAGACGCAAGATGTTAGGCAGAAAGGGGCAACCAAAATTAAGATTGGGGCTACTGGCCCCCTCCTAAAAACAGTCTCAACTGTGATATTTACATAAGAATGGGTGGTGCTAGTTACATATGAATAAGCCATGACTCATTCTCCCCCAAAAAATGTCCGCTCGTCGCTAGAGTGTTCGGGTTTCACTTGAAGAAAAGGTGGCAACCCTACTGACAGCACACACACACATGACTCCCAGATGCAGAGGCATTATGGGATTTTTAGTACTACAACAGCTGGAGTCCTAAAATTGCCTAACCCTTATTTATAACACAGGAAGCTGCTAGTAATGCCTAGTATTAGCAGGATGTGAGCTGCCTGTGATGACAGGGTTAATAGAAGGGGGCGTGTCCATGACGTTTTCCGAGGCCGGCTTAATACAAACCACAGTGCATAAGGAAAGGGGAAACCCGCGTAGCGTGGGCAGAGGAACTGTAAGGTTGGAGTTAGTCATGTGACTCCGGATTTCAATATATTGTTACGTTATCTCAGCGGGTAGCCTTCACTAATGGGAGGGAGGTGACAGTGTCCTTGTGACATAAAGGGAGGCTCTCAGCAGTCGGTGACACCTTTGTGTATTGGCATGCTGTGTGTTTACACATCCTCGTCAGCTGAGCAGGTGGGGAGTGTCTGACCGGAGCAGCATGGAAGAGCCGGCTTCGCTGCAAGTATGTCAGAAGCTCAGCTACGCTTTTGGCCATTTTCTCAATGACTTGTGTGCCTCCATGTGGTTCACCTATTTCCTGATCTACTTCCACTCTATACTGGGCTTTAACTCGTTTAACGCCGGCCTCCTCCTGCTGGTGGGCCAGATTGCTGATGGCATCTGTACTCCTCTTGTTGGCTATGAGTCGGATCATCGTGCAAGCAGTCTGCCATACGGACGCCGGAAGTCGTGGCATCTAGTCGGTAGGTGTGCAGGGTGCATATTGCTCCAAAATGCATGTCACTTTAAAAGGTCCCATGCAGAAAGGAAATAACTCTGGCCTCCCTCCAGCCTGTCTTCTCCTCCGCTGCAGGCATGCAATGTTCCTTTTGGAGTCCTCACGTCCTAATAAAAGTTGTATAGAATGTGATGACTTAACTAAGCCATTACACATGTGGGTCATGTGTTCTGTTCATGCTTGCTTTTGCATGTTTGTGTTCCCCCTTTGCTGTGTCCCTATTGACTTTAATGGGTTCATATACACGAGAGAAACGCTCAGTAGTATTTTGTGCCACAGTGCGTTTGTTGTGTGGGATGTTTTTTTTGTTTTTTTTTTTTCCTTTTGTATGCTTTTTCACTCTCAAAAAATGGGAAGCAAAAATGTGTGTCTTGCCAGTCTTTGGGGTGCCCTTAGAAATAAATGGCACCGCGATCGTGTTGTGTGTTTTTGGCACGGTCCAGTAAATGTGTGCGTTTTGTGGAACACACAGGTGTGAATGGGGCCTCAGGAACTTTAGACTGCTGCAGCGTAGGGGGGAGAGAGGCTGAAAGTGTCGGTCTAGGAGCAATCCGACTCTGAGGATCAAGTGACTGTAACTTCCTCTCTAGATGAAAATGAGCAGTTAACTCTTGCATCGCAGGGGTAGCCCCACTGCAGGGGTTCATTGAACATTTTTGTCTGAATTACTTAAAAACCCATGTGTCCAGGTAGTTTGGAGCTAATTTTTAAATGCACCTAGATGCATATAATTTCCTGTGGCTCAATGTTCCTAGAAGTTTAGCAGTGTTAAGGTGCATTCAGTCCACATTTATACTTACAAGAATGTTCTGCATCCTGCAAGCGTTTAGCCTGATTTTGCAACCAGGAACATCTAAATGCAAGAAAGTGACCTTGGATGCATGCCAGTTGTATATACCTCCCAGCTATCTTCTGTGTTTTTAAAGGAGAACTATGAGGTAAGTGAAAATCACTCATCCTCCTAGTTGGAGCCGACTTGTGACAATTAAACACGTCGGCACAATAGATCGGGAAGTGAGCGAACACCTACCGTCGCTCGCTCACTTCTCAATCATCTCCCTGCAGAGAGCGGTGACTGTCAGTCACCGCACCCTGCAGGGATTCCCCCCTCCGATCCTCCAGCGCAGACTGGAGAAACGGACGGGGCGGGTACAGCTTGCTCTGCCTCTAGATAGGGAGAGCCAGCTGTCACTCGCGCAGCTGGCTGGATCTCAACAGTAATGTTAGGATCCGTCCCGGCTGCGTCCGTCTCAGTATACCGCGAGCTGTAGCTTGCGATATACTGAGCTTTTGGTCATGGGAGGACGCTAGTATATGTCCTCCCATGACCCTTAACCTCCTTGGTGTTGGACAACATTGAAGTGAAATAGTTTGATACATATATGTAATTATAGCAGATTACATTGTATTGTGTGTAAATGTCATGTTTGCACTTTTGAATTTCACGCCGGCTCCGCCCCCCGCTGTGACGCCCGAAAACGAAACTGAATGCCGGTATCGGCCGGGTGCACACAGCAGAGGACACCACGGGCTCGCAGGGACAAGGTAAGTGACACTTTAGCGCAATCCTGTGAGTGGCTCGGGGTTACCACTTTCAGTACTGAAAATTAACCCAGAGACACACTCGGAATACCGCCAGGGAGGTTAAGAGGACTATGGGGAAAAACACTTAGCCCATAGTTCTCTTTTAATGCAGGAGGCCTGTGTGTATGGGTCCATTTACGGCACCCAGAGCATCTTGCTGTACCATGTGCTTACATGTGCATTTAATTGCAGCCAAACGCATAGTACACTGGGGTACAGTTATCAATCTGGCAACATCATCCGGGTCTAATGTAGCCATGATTTCTAGTGCATCTGGCGACCGAGTTATTATCCTATATTATAAAATATATTGTATAAAAAAAAAAAATGCACGAAACGCGCGTAGAAACACACCAAAATGCTGTTGCCTAGGTGTGAACCCAGCCTTAATGTAACAAATGCTGGATGCAGTTACTTGGCAGTTGAGAAATTGTGCAAAATGGTCTAACACATGTGCAGTTGGTCACAAACATTAATGTCGTAAGAACATTTAAAAAAGACACCACATTTTTTTCTTAGTTGGCATATTTTGATGCGGCTGCCCTTTGTGAGGCAGCCCATTGAAATTATTAGGCTGCTCTGAGTCACGCACATGCACACTAAAACTTTGTCACTTCACGGAGGCTAATAGATAATATAAGTAACAAAGTAGAAGGGTTTTACTTTGTGCTTGTGCTATTTGGTATTTCTGAATGTGTCTTGTGAGTTGTCTTTAGCAAGGAGATGTGGTGTACCTGTAAGCTTCAGTGATTGTTGTATAGCCATGTTGTAGGGATGTGTGTGGGCTTGTTGTTGGCACGGAACCCGCAAAACGGTGTCGGTGACCCATCGCCCTCTCGTCCCAGTCAGCTGCTGCAAGGGCATTCCCCACCCCATAGCTACACCTAACAAAGGGGCAGGGAATACCCTGCCTGCAGCTGTTTGGGCTGGTAGGGCGATGTGTCACTGACAGTTTTGCTTGGGCAAATCTTGTTTTGGACCAAGACTGAAATGGATCTGAACCACAACTGGGTTCACACAAGATGTCTGCTGCTGTTTCTAATTATTTTGTGTACGGTGCACCGGAGAAATCACAAACTCAGAATTAACGGTCTATGAAGATTCTGCTTTATTCAGGGCGGTCTCTCTCCTTTATACACAGATAACAGGAGAGTGCTCGTCACACATATGCCCACCTCTGTTATTATACTATTGGGCAAACTAGAGGAACTGTTAAAGTCTTGTGTCTCTCGCTAATTGGTTAGTCAAAGATATCTTCTGCTTGTAGCGTCCTCCCTCGGCATTCCTCCGATGTGTCCTTGGCGCGCTCCCGAATACAGGATATCTCTCTTGGTTACGCATAGCAACGCTAAAAGCTGAGTAAGGAGTCACAAAGCTAGGAAGCAAATGAAACTAATTCAAAACAATTTAAAACATAGAAAAGGACATTTTCCTGATATGATCCATATTCCTTCACAAGACCACACACCCCTTCACAGTTGTAGGTTTGAATCAAGAAAATTATTTTATCCCCATTCACACCTGAGTGATTTGAAGCACGTTTCCAAAAGCACCTTATGCTTGACACCAAAATTTAAATATTCTTCTATTGTGCGTGTTCACATCTGAATAATGTGCTGTTGGTCATCACTCAATGTACAGGAGCTTCTTTGGGGCATGATCAGGCATTTTAGGTCCCAACAGACTTCAGTGGGAGCACCTGGAATTTTTTATTTTTTTTGTTGGCACTTAACTGTCTCCTCCTAGTAACGAGCTTTCCATTTGGCCCGTTCACGCCAGGCCCGTTGGGCAGCCTTTGCTCGGCATGGAGCCTTAGGCCTCATTCACACACAACGTAAGAGCAAAATTGTACATGCGCGCATATAAGAGCGTATATGCATGCACTATTTGCAATCCCACAATGCATAATTTCTAATAGAAATGTTAATGTACTGTATGCGCGTAAATACGCAGAAATACGCTGCCCGGGCGTTTCTCGGTTCCATTCTGTTTTTGCACATTGTTATGCTACGCAAATATACAGCTGCGTATGGAGCCATTTATTTGCATGTGCTGCATATGGTACAATACGCGTGTATACCCTCGGCAGTGTGAATGAGGCCTTGCATAAATATTCCTAAGCTCACAGCAGGTCCAGGTAACTGACAGTAGAAACTGTTGGAATTTGTCTCCTACCCTGTGCACTTGAGCATTGGACTCTTAGTTTTTTTTAATCTTTTATTTGCATGTTTGTAAACACGTTTTTCATTCCCAGCTTTAGCCAATGTTAAGTTAGTAAGTGTAGAAGACTGTTGGGCACAAAGTGGCACAAAAAATGTTTTTCAGGACCTCCCATTAAAGTCTATTGGTGCCCAAAATGCACCATCATGCATCAAAAAAGCTCTTGTATTTTTTGAGCACTGAGCGATTTTATATGGTTCTATAGAATAACATGGAAATGCACTTCAGATCATTCGGGTGTGAACAGGGAATAAAGTTCATTACTTCATCACTGCCTGAAGCATCCTCTTCTATGACAATCAGTCTAATTGAATGTTCATTTTTCGGAAGACTCTTTGGAATGAATGTTAAAGTGAAATTAAAGGCTGAATTTCCCCCACCCCTCCCTCTCCCAATGCTGCTTTGCGGGTGCCCGCAAATATCTGCATATATCTACTGCTTACTAGCAGTTTATGCATCCAAAAAACGCCAAGGGTTTAACCTCCTGCCGTCCACCCGTTCAGAAAAAACGGACAGACGGCAGACAGCATTTTTTTTCCTGCGCGCACAGGCAGGAAAAACCCGTCCGTTCTGTACAGCCGTTACTGGCTTTTTCACATACAACCGATCAGCGGCTCTATAGCCGCCAATCGGTTGTATGGGATGATTTGTTCGCCTGACCCCCCCCCTTGAGTGCCGCCGCACAGAGGATCGGTAAATATCAATGATACTTATCGATCCTCCGTTCGGCCACGCACAGAGCCGCTGTCATGTTCTTCAAAAAAACCTACCAATATGAATATAAAGTACCAAAAAACAGGTGTCCATAAAGGACTGAAAAAGTGCTCATGTGCAAACAATCAAAAGGAAAGCTACATTCCTCAATAAGATAAGTGAATAAATGTAACAAGATATCACACTATAAAAACCATAATTAATTAATTTTTTTAATAATTTTTTAATTTTTTATAGTTCACTTCGATATACTTAGTTTTATGGTTTTTATAGTGTGATATCTGGATCGGGCTCTGGATCCCTGGGCGGACGCGGTGGATGCCCTGGTGGCTCCTTGGGGGCCCTACGGTCTGATATATGCCTTCCCTCCGCTTTACCTGTTACCTCGGCTGCTGCATCGCATAGCGGTCGAAGACGTCCCCGTCATCCTCGTGGCCCCGGACTGGC